AGACCATGTACTTTAAGTAATTAATTTTATCAAATAATGGTTTAGAAGTAATAGCAAAGTCAATGGTACTGCTACCTCTTGGTGTGTGGCATGTGTATTTACCCATTGAATCACCCATACTTCTACCGTTTAAAATGATTAGGTTGCAGTCAATGCATAATTGAATCAGTTTCCTGCCGAATTTGTTTACACTGTATGATGAGTGGACATCCATGTTATTTCGTTTCCGAAAATTGTCATTGATATAATGAGTTGGTAAGGGGAGATGCTGGTTTTTACTGTCATCGACTACATCATCTAAGTTGCCAATTCTACTATTAAAATCACCTAATAGGATGATGTGTTAGTAGTATATCCCGGTATGCAAATTACCCGTATATGTAGCCGGCAACATCTTGGTCTGTGCACAATGGGATCCATTTCACAGCTAACAACGCGCTCCGGTACCGTGCAATTCCGACACGTGACATTTTCAGCGACGTTTGTTTTCTACGCCAAAATAATGGTACAACACTTTCCATTTTTCCTGTTTCTGCTTCAATTTTCGTGTTATTTTATTTATATTTTTTTTGCTCCGAAGCTAAATATTTCGGCAATTTTTAAATATTTATTTATATAGAATGCGAACTAGTAGGTCGCCACGACCTGTGAAAACTATCATAAAGCGAGGGTCAACACCATGTTGCGAGGTAAAACGCAACATAATCGACTGAAAAGGGAACAGTTTTCACACCAGTGCAAAGGGAACACAATGGAATTACAGTGAAAGAGAACACACCCAACTAAAGCCCATCCCTCGATATAATTAATATCGAAATACATGGCAGCAATTACTATTTTCCTGACCCCGCAGCGAAAGCATTAATTCTGGAGGGCAATTGTTAAGTTACAATCTAATTCACACACTTCTACGACAATATGATTAGTTTTTGAACACCGAAAGGTTAAAGTTCTCCAACGAGGCTCGTCTATAATTTTCCCTAGAAATGAAACCCCGAAGTCACTTCTTCACTAAATGCAGCTTTGTTTCGACCTTTGACCCCATGCTATAAATGGCGCGAACAATGACATATTGTTGGTAGACGGATGTTTTTAGAAGCAATGATAGCTCATATCACGTACAACTAACTTCTTTTTAGCTGTGTGAGCTTGTAGTGAGACGCGACAACAAAGATGCTTACTTCAAATATGTGATTACTACAGGACGCTTTGTGCTTATATTTAAAAAAAAAGATGAGCTGAGAGCTATTCAACCCCCGTTTTTACGCGATATATACTTGCCAGCAAGTGACGAACTAAATACAGATTTTCATGTGGAAATGTTATTGGCCTAAATTGAATACGCTGGTTAGAATGGTGCTCTGTACATCTTGAAATGCACATTGTAGCAATTCCAGACAATGGGGTTCTCACCACGATCCGTTCCTAGCTGACACATCATGCTAGTTGAATTGGATTATGGTTGATTTCCTAATATCGACAAGCCAATGAGAGAAGCTGTATTAACAGCCCCCATCTAGCATTCATACACAAGCCATACGTCTATTATAATATTGCATAACACAATATACATTCGCATCGCGTGGAGTATGTACAGCGAATTAATATGCGACCCCTTCTTGAAAAGAAAACATGGCAGTATTAGTCAAAGAAACGGAAATTAAATATAAAATATTCACGGAAATCTAATCCCACCTCTGAGCTAAAATGGCGACAACAGGAAGTTAAATTCAGCAAGTATTATCATACAGAGTTCACGCAATAACATACATATTACACACAAATAATATACCAGGTTTTAGGAATCAAATAAATCAGACATTTAATATTTTCATTGCGGTATTATTTTTTTCAACAAGATTCCTACCTAAATAATTTTAAAAACTTACGAGAAGCGATATGGATAATCTTTAGTACGTTTTACTCAATGTTGATATTCACAATGGATCATAATCGCTCGTTTGTTGGTCGAACACAAACTCACAGTATCCGCATAAAGAAATACGCATGCGCATTCAATAACAGATATGTACTGCGCATGCGCATTCAATAACAGATATGTACTGCGCATGAGCATTCAATAACAGATATTTAATGCGCATGAGCATTCAATAGCAGATACGTACGTGAAACTAGCATTACTTCAACGGTACAATATTTCATCGAACGAAATGCGATATTGGACGCTATAAAAATAATGTTTACAATACAATCAAAAATACTCAATTCATCGATATTGCATATTTAATTGTTCAAACAAATCTGCATATTCATTACATTTTAAATAGGCAATGTGGATAACTTTTAGTATTTGTTAACAAGTTTAAATAATTATGTTTGAATTTATATCTTGATAAAAACATATGATTTATCGTAAAAAAATGTTATGACTGCAAACCACAGTATTCGTTCGATGAAATACTGAAAACACTAGTTTTTACCGCTAAATCCATGATGAATGCGCATTTTCAATAATTCATCGAACGCATACTGTTATATTTTTCTCACAAGATACAATATCAAACACAATTATTTAATTACAGCACAGTTGTTATCCCTGGATGTTAGAGAGAAAACACCTGTTTGGTCTTTCCAAATCGAACATCCAATTAAAACCCGTTTGAGCCAATCGTCATCTCCGTTATATTCTTCATCTATTTTCAAAATAGTTGACTTAGAATCCTTTACACAACACACTGACCCTAATCATGATTGGTTTAACAATATTTAGATTCTGTCTCGAAACCGTTTATGAAAACACAATTGCAATATAAATCCATGATAATATTAGTTTCCCCCCCCCCCCCAAATAATTGCTCAAGCACTCAAAGTCTGAGTAACTTATTATACATACAATTTCAGAAGTAAAAATTGTTTTGTTTTATTATCGCCTGGCTATGCAGAAGTAATCGAATTCCATGACTCCAGGGGAAACTTTCAGTAATATATATTTGCAAAACATAATATATTATCGTTTTTTTTTAATATTAAAGAATATCTATCTAATTAGGGCATTCAAGGCACTACTATGCATAGTAAACATTAATAATTAAATATGTATTAATTTATCATAATTAATATCAAGAATAATTGCAATATTTATATTTATTTAAAAAATAACATATCAAATATTTTAAATATGACGGTTTACCACTCAGCCATTATCGTTTAACTACTGCATATAATTTCAAGGTAATATGTAAATAGGTTAGCCGGCGTACACACTGTTGCCTAGTTTATTGTATTCTGAGGCGGGTAAGCGACTCATGGCTGTAACGGTTTGTTACTTTACTGTATATATGTATGCACGTAGGCGTTAGGGCATTGATATATCACTGCGATGAGGGCAGATAGGTGCAGTTAATATGAAAAGATAGATTTATTTGTAGGTATTAAATATAAGTGGCTTATCCCAGTATGATTAAAATGCATCCGAAACCTGATATTTAAAATGATAATAAAATTCATAATAATGGAAGAATAATTTGGTAAAATTAAAGAAACATGAAACTGCCTCGTTTCCACTTCCCAATATACATAAAAAATATGAATAACAAAGGATTAATTTCATATATGATATGATTGACTTAATTTTAGTTATGAAAACATTGGCATTATGTACTGTAAAATACTTAATTTTAGCTGGAATTAATTTTCGCTAAATATACTTTTTGGGCGTTTTGTATGGAATATATTTTCACTGATTTTTGACGAGTTGATTGTAAAATATGGGAAAAACGTACTAGTATATTCACTGGATTTCATTTTCACTGAATCACCCCTTCAGCGAAAATAGCGACACTTAATTCCAAGCGAAAATAAAGTATTCCACAGTATTTGAAAACATTCACTTGATTAGAATTTAAAAACTATTGAATTTAATTGAATTTGTTTACTTTTGTGTATATCGACACAAACAATGTTTTAATATATGGAAGAATTATTTTAAAATAGAAAATAGAAAATAAAATATGTTCATATGGATATTAATTAAAGCTGTGTTATACTCTTCGCAAACGTTTTATGGCTAATAAAAATATAATAGTCTAATGACCTCGTCAACAGACACCTGGATGCAGCACTGTGTAAGTATTGAATTAAGGTACTTCGCTACCATTACATACGCATACAGCAATAGGGGCTGGGTTACTGATGTATTTCTGAAATAAAAAAAAACTACATCGGAAAATTGAAAATAATGCGTTTTGTGAATAGTCAGAATCATTCCATCGTGTTACACGAATTTGTTCAGTGACATATGCCTAAAAAAAATGATATGTAGTGTCATGACAACTACATTAAGGCTGTCACGAATCATTGGAGATATTTTGAATATTAGTACAGGCTTTCCATACAATAAATGTATTTACATGAAATGCAATGGAAAGTGTTCCAAAATGGCCGTTTCTTAGATTATTTTGCATCTGCTTTCTTGAAAGCACGTCCTTCTTTCTCCATAAAAACGTTAAATATGAACGACTTGTGTGTATGTTAATTAGTATCACACAAAATTGTTTACTGTGATCATTTTTTTTCATGTTTTAATGGTAGAGAACTACCTTAATCATATGCAAATGATATGCAAATATTATGGAAGTCGTCAAGTTGACAGCGTTAGTGCTCCCACTTGCGAGGTCGCCGGTAATGCATGACTGTATTTAGTTTTAGGAAGTTTTAGATACTAGTATTTAAAAAAAAAATATGCAACCCCCAAGTCAAGCTAAATTACATTTTCTTTAAAATGTCATGTGTATACATGACTCCCCCAAAATGCCAGGATGTCTGCATGATTCTGACCATTAGAGGCCATGAACGAATGTCACGGTTGAATCCAAAACGACTCAAGCAGTTCGTGGAATGTCAATAGTAGTCCAACAAAAAACAAAACAATGGAATCGTTTACGTTGAAAAAACGTTCATTTTACAGTTTACGAATTCAAAGTATAATTTAACCATGTTGAAATATTGTCGCTATCGTTTAGTATCCATGCACCTTTATTTTCCATTGCCACCATTCGCAGCCACATAGCTAATAACACCTGTATTGCACTGGTGGGTTTTGGATAGGCGGGATGCATTTTCCGTTGAAATAATGCGCGAAACTAAAACCATAACATGAAATTAGTAAACACAGTTCAAGCAAGTTCTGAATTGCGACAATCTGCAAAGTTGTACACGGTTAGTACAGCACGTGTCCTCTTGGTGCTGATTGGTTATTGGAGTTGTTAGACTCTACGTCGTCAGCAAAAGTATTATCTTCATTGCTAGCACGTGATCGGAGAGATCCCTTTTTATTGGGCGTTGCGTAAGTGACGTCTGGTACATACCCCGTGTTATCATTACCATGATCATCATCATCTTTATTATCATTATCACTATGGTCTGTATCATCTTTATTTTGAATCTTCTTCTTGCTTGAACCTCTCTTCTTTTTACTGGACCCCTTTTTCTTTTTCGAGGACTCCTTCTCGTCTTTGAAAGTTGTCTTTTTCGACGAATTCCTGCTCACTTCGGTTCTCACTGGGTCATTTCGAATCGAGTTGATTTCTGCACCGCCTTGAAACTGAGCGTAGTCTATTCCGTCATTCCTTTTATTCACATTGGCTGCGTATGCATCTTCCTCCATTTCTTCGCGAGTTGGACGTTGTCTTGTTCCGGTATCAGGCTCTGTTAAGTTGTACCCGTCCTGGCGATTTGGGTTATCCCTTTTCTTTCTTCTTTTCGGGCAACAGCAAACTATTACTACTATCACTATAGTAACGATGAAGATGATGAACATTATGACGCCGATGATGGTAACCATGGTGGATAATTCAAGTTTGAGAGGAGTAAACAAGACAACTTCCGGTCCCATGATCTTAGCAGTACGGTTACCCATACCCATATCATTATTAACTTCACAAACCACAGATTTACCAAAGTCATATTCAGTAATGCCATCAATGTCAAGGCGGACCAACCCTCGCTGCTTATAGAGCTAAATCGTTCAAACACGTCTGTTATTTCCTCCCCGTCAAAGTACCAACGGAACGCCATGTAAGGCGGGATCAGCGTCTGCGGTGCAATTAAAAGTTCCGCTGTCCCCTTCTTCGAATCGTTTCCAAGATGGCGTAATCGTTACGACGGGTTTATGCGACAACCACAATGACTGTCCAAACGAGCACACTTTATGGTCCACTACCCACGCAGGGTGACTAGCAGCACAAGTAAAATGGGCGTTCTTATCTTCGTAGGTGAGCTCCCAAGTGACGGAGGTATAAACAATTTGAGTTTGTCCTGTTTCATCATACCCAGTCGTACGATTTTGTCCAGGCATCGCCTCTCCGTTTCTTTGCAATTCCAACGTAGCCAGGGGTTCACCGCCCCTTGATTGACAGGTTAGTCCCACGGTACTACCTTCTTGGTTGGATTCCTGGTTGTCGAATCTAATATTAAAATACTCATCGCAGTTAACCTCAACTATAGGGGCAATGATATGACCGAATGCTAAATTCGCGTTAGCCTGGAGATGTTTCCCGGGGTCGTTGTCCGGTGCCGCTACAAGGCAGGCGTAAGATCCGGCATCGTCGAGCACGGTGGCCTGAATTCTCAGGTTGTACTCACCTTCCTCTCGGTCCCCACTGAATAAAAATCGTGGGTATGCCTTGTTGAGAGTCACCCCCAGCAACACACTGTGCATATGCCGATTGTTGATTTGCCAATAAACCGTGTAGTCAGATTTATTCGCTATTTGGCATATAATTTCGACCGTCGAGCCTACATCGGCGATTACATCAGCTGGTCTTTCAATAAAACTCGGCGTAGATGATACGAGACAGAGAGCCACAAGTAGAAGTGCACATACAATGGAAGTCCGCCTGTTTACCGATATCGCCGTCATTGTGAATATCCCACTTTCAGACAAACTGCAAAATCAAACAAGAATTTCGTTAAACGAATGACACGCAGAATAACTGCTTTGCGTATTCACCACGGGCACCACTAGTGCATCGCGCCAGTATTGTTGATCAGAGAAGCCGATCGACTGCAACAACAACGGGGAGCATCATGGCGATGTACATGTACGGTGTATATTATACTTTCAGAATCAACATCCGGGAATGTTTGACCTATGAAAGTGAGAAGTATCATGAAGCGAACGCTATATAAATAATTACGACTACAACTCACACACTAGTTCAGTTCAGAAATGCGGAATGAAACTGCAATGCAGCTGCAATATTCTTGCATTTTTTCGCAACATATTTTTCAAAGCAGGGCGTTGTCTATAAAACTGTCAGAAATAGGCGGATTGATTAACCATGCGTACGCTACACTGTGCCCACTTTTGTTGTATGGACGATCGCCTTTATTACAGCGTTCCGTGGGTGGCGGTGGCTCGTTATTACAGCCTACGGACGCGAACATTAGCAAATCGGATCGTATTAGCAGAAAACAAATGCGGCTTAAATTAAGTTACTGTGTAGGACTGGGTATACCACAATGACAAGGCGTCCACACAATTCATGTAGGTACCTTGGCTAGCATGCCACACCTTCACATAGACAAAAAGTTGAAGCGAAATGAGACTAAGACCAAACCGCGTAGCTACCGGACTCAATCTACTCACCCGTAATCGAATCACCAGACCATTACATGTACACGTTGACAATTTCACATTTAATGTTGACAACTGAACGATGTATTACGCAAGAAAGCTGATATACGAAGCGTAACTGCAGTGTAGGTACATCAAGAGGCACCAGGGTGCATTCTTCGTGAAATGGTCCTTACATTGATATGCAAAACTTTGGGTTATTTTACACGCCCCCATTGCTCTTTCACTGAGAGACCTGCATTGTGCGTTTTGATCTGTTCAGTCGCATTGACAACACCACTTAGCATTACATTACTAATTTGCATATAACTACGTGTGACGGCCCTGAAAGTGAAAACCTATTGTCAACCGTCAATGTTTATATAATTAAATTACAGCAAATTAGATCTTCGGCAAAACAATTGCAAATAAACGAAACGAAACATAATTATGCCCATCCCCCTATGCTATATTTAAATAACAGATCAGATCGGATGACAGCGTATTTTAGTTTGGACCATTGACCCTAATGGGCG